ATGTAGTTTCTATAAGTGCTCAAACATTCCCAAGGAAAAATTTCCAAAGCCCTGTTAAATCAGTAAAATTTAACTGGACATGGTGGTGCATTCCTATAGTCCCAGCACTTTGAGAGGCTGAGGTAGGAGGATCACAAGTATGGGTCCAGCCTAGGCAACTTGGCAACTTAACAAGACCTTGTCTCAAAAAAAATATTTTTTTTTTATTTTTTGGTACCGGGGATTGAACTCAGGTCCTTGCACTTGCGCAGCAGGCAGCGAAACCACTGATCTAAATCCCCGGCCCCCAAATTTTTTTTTAAATGCTGGGTATATAGCTCAGTGCCAAGGCCTTGAGTTCAATCCCCAGTAACACAAAAATCATATTACAGGTTTATATAATATGGTTGGGATACTTTTTTTTTCTTTATAGGTCTTTTTTTTGGTACCGGGGATGAAATTCGGGTCCTTGCATTTGCACAGCAGGCGGTGAAACCACTAAGCTAAATCCCCGGCCCTTGTTATTCTTGTATGTAGGTATCAAGAGTTAAATGGTGTAAGACTGTGTAGAAATGTAACAGGTAAAATCTTTGGAGGGAATGAATGTTTTTCTCTTTTGATCTGAAACAGGTTAGAAGCTGCTTTTCATTTGTTGATTTCTCGTTTTTGTTTAAATAGGTTACCAGCTATAATTGTTGAAATATGCCTTTTTCTTAAAATCATACTTAAGTATTGGTAAATTGGACATGAGTATGATATGAATGATTTCTGCTGCAATGTAAAGAATCAGCTTTTTCTTCAAAAATTGTAGCACAGCCAAGTATAGTGGCACATACTCATAATCCCAGCACATGGAAGGCTAAAGCAGGAGGATCACTATGAGTTTGAGGCCCGCCTGGGCTACGTAATGAGTTCAAGGCCAGTGAGACCTTGTCTCAAACCCAAAATTTTTTTCAGCACATATGATCTTTCCCAACTCATGGTGCTGTGCAGGGCATTAAAATAATAGGTATAACAAGGAATTTGATAGGCAGCACTTTATATAAAAAGTATCCCTGGTACCAAAAAAAAAAGAATAACAAGGTCGCCTGCCTCGCAAACGCAAGGTCCAGAGTTGATACCCAGTACCTCCCCACAAAAAAAGAATAACAAGGTAATCATAGCTGCTTCTATTAACAGAAACTTTAAAGTTAGGAGGGAAGAAAATGTGAAGAATATGTAAAAGCTAACTCCCCAAAATGGAATATGATTTTTAGAATGTTTTGCTCTACACTCAGATGTACTGTTGGCTCTTGACAGATGATCAGGCAAAAAGTAGCAAAATGTGAAACTGTTGCTGTTCTAACATTCAGAAAGAGGAAAAAAAATTTTTAGATCACTATATTTACTTGAGTGATAAACCCTCTAGATTTCTTCCAAACCATTACACAGTTTTGCAACTATCTGCAAGACTCCCAAAGATTCACTCCATGAAGAAATTCTCACAGACATGCCAGGTATGGTGGTACATGCCTGTAATGAGCATGCCTGTAATGGAGAGGCTAAGGCAGGCTGGGCGGTCAACTTACCGAGACTCTTATCTAAGAAAATTTTTTAAAATGCCCAAGAATGTAGCTCAGTTCTACAAAAAAAAAAAAAAAAAAAGGGGGGGGGGGATTCACACAAACTAAATTTCAACAATAAAACTTGTAAATGATTTATTCATTGTAATGGGTCATAGGACTCTACTGAAGAGATGACAACGTATATTGTTTCTGTTAATGTTGTTAATACACGCAACAAGCATAGAAAAAGATGGTAGAGATATCTGAAAAGGTTTATAAAGACTTTGAAGCATTGTCTAAATAATTTATGCAAGTTTCCTTGCCCTCAAGAAATTTTCAGTCTTAAATACACAAAATGAAAAATAATGTGAAACAAAATACAAAGTTATACTACAAAAGATAAATAGTAGTATGGTTTCACAAAGAATACACAAAACTTGAAGAAGAAAAAGGTTTGAGTCTCAGCTGTGTCCCCCTAACAACATCTGTGAATTTTAGTTATTCTCTATGGATTTCCTTATTGATAAAACAAAAGGGTGGATTCCAATATTATAGCAATAATGTTCTATGGTACCATACTACAAGCTCACATAAACTTTAAAACCAAGAGAATGGCAAAAAAAAAAAAAAAAAAAAGGAACAAGGATTCAAAGAAAAGCAACATTACAGGGAGAAGAAATGACATTTTGAATGTCATGTTAAAGGATCAAAAATGAAACAAAAATTTACTTTGTAATTTTTGGGGGGGTTGTGGAGGTTTTGAGATAGGGTCTATGTAGTCCAAGCTGGTCTCAAATTCAGAGTGATCCTCTTGCCTCAGCCTCCTGAGGACTGGGATCACAGGCATGCACCACCACGCCCAACTATTTTGTAATTTAGAGGGAAATTTTTGTTTTAAATACTGTAGTAGGCAGCTGCAGTGCATGGTGGCACACGTCTGTAATCCCAGCACTCTGGGAGGCTGAGGCAGAAGGATCACAAATTCAACCCCAGGCTGTGCAATTTTACAACTTGGTGAGACTCTATCTCAAAATTTAAAATAAAAAAGCCTGTGGATTTAGCTCAGTATGAAGGCCCTGGGTTCAATCTCCAGTACCACCAAAAAAAAGGCAGTCCATGCACAGACATTCAAAATTTCAACAAATATGATAAAGATAGAAAAGTACAAAGCATAAATGGTTAGGGTGACAGGTCCTGTAGAGAAATAGTGCTGGCATTAGACAAATAGGTTTTCACTAGGAGGCTATGACTGGTGAACTATGTATGCTCTGTAGATAACAGTGAGAGATGTGTTCAAAGAATTAAGATTTAGCAGCAGGGAGGATGTATTTAGTACAGAAAAGCCTGGCCAAAAAAAACCCCAGTTTAAACTAGTGAGTGGTTGAAAGATAAAAACTAAGATAAACTCATGGTGGCACATGTTTGTAATCCCAGCACTCTGGGAGGCTGAGGCAGGAGGAATACAAATTCAAGTCCGGCTTGGGCAAGTTGACAATTAAGCAAGATCCTGTTTAAAAATAAAAAATATAAAAAGGTCACTGAGGATGTTGCTCAGTGTAAAAGGCTTCATACATACTACAAACAAATAAATACATAAATAACATAAGGACACAAAAGAACATACACCTGGAAAAAAATTTTTTTAAATGGCCAAAATTTACCAGTGTTATGTGGACAAAGATGAAAACAAGGTTGGGTCTGGGTAACTGAAAGCATACTGCTCTATAACGTCACCCAAACAAAGTCAGCACGTGGACTCAGCTTTGAAGGGAAGACTATAAAATCTATAAATTCTCTCTCTGTTAAAGTGAAGATTACCCAGGACTAACTGCTGCCTTAATTTACCTTTAAATACTACATCTGGCCACCAGTTGTCTTCGTAAGACAGCATAGCAAAGTATTTAGGAAGAATATGCTAAACGACCTGCAATTTGAAGACTTATCAACTAAATCATTTAATTTTCTGGCATACATAGAGAACATTTGGCATGTTTTCCAAATTATTCAGGAGAATAAATTTATGAAGCTTTTCTGACAAAGGATTTATTTTTAATAATCATATCAGATCTACTTTGAGCTTTGGAAAATCCTCAAAAGAAAAGAAAATCACTTACTGTCTTACAAAATATTACATGCATGTTTCAATTTTTATTTACATGGACCTGAAAGCACTGGGAAAATCTAAACAGAAAGATAATACTTAGAAAAATTAGGCAAACATTTTAAAATTTAACGAGAACAACTAAGTAGACTCGCACACACTGCAAACTGTGCTTATAAAGCCAATTCCCACTGATCACAATTTTCTCAAATGAGAAAAACCACAGTGGTCATGACGAAATGAAAGTACTATTCACCAGTGTATACTTGAGTTACTATCAAGATGTGAGCGGGATGCCTATGTGAGAGTTGAACATTACTGACAACTACCAACAGTACTATACTTCTTGGGTTATTTCCCCATTTACTTTGAGATCTTCCTGAAAACTGAGGCTTTAGGAAGAATGGTTTTCAGGTGCTTAAGAAATTCTTGTGGCTGGCTTGTCATAAAACTATAAAAGTAATTAAAAAATAAGTATCTCTTTAACACTTACCCATTTTTTCTGGACACTGAACTTTTTTGCTCCGCACCCAAGATAGGCTAAGAAGGTTCTCTTAACCTCATACTTTCCTTAACTCCTAAGGCTTCTTACCTACTGTAACGGGTAGAATCCTTTTCAGATGACTTCAGTTTATCAACTCAAAATTAACTGAGCGCCTGTTATGGTTCTCAGTCCTGAAAAAAGCCCAGCTTCCCCAGCTTCTAACGGTGAATTTAGCACGTATGAAAACAAGGGTACGAAATCTATCGATACATTTTTTTTAGCCAAATATACTACAACTTGGGTCAAAAGCTCAAACCCCAGGCAACTCGCGTACAAACCTAAAGCAGATCCCCACGACGACAGTAATGCCCAGATCGCCCCACAACGAGGAAGGCGGCTGGGGTCCGAGGAAGGAGGAAGGCGCGTTCCGAATCTGTCCACAGTCCGCGGGCACGGTTCGCTCCGCCGCCCCCGGGTGGAGAAGAGGGAAAGCGCCTTATCTGCCCTACCTCTGCCCTACCTCGTCCCTACCTCCCCAGCTTCGGATTACGCCACAACTGGGAGCGGGGCTTTTTCGAGAGACACATGGAGCGGCAAAGCGCTGTACACCCGACCTCCAAGCCTCGCAGGCGCGGCGCTCCGAAGGAGGGAAAGGCCGCAGGGTCGCGCCACCCGGTGCTGAGGCCTGACGGTCGCGCGAAGCAGCAGTGCAGACGCCCAGGCTAGGCTCAATGGCCTCCCCGCCCCCTCTGGCTCCACTCGGCGCCGGCAGACGGCGCTCCCGGGGCTAACTTCGCTAAGAGGAAGCGACGCAGCGACTTAACAGGCTGTGCGGACGGATGGGTGACTAAAGTGCTGTCTCTGTCTCTGCCAACCAGCAAGGCAGTCTCACCTTCCCTATGCGAGCCCAGGCGGCTCCAGTCTACTGAGGAGGGCACCCGGACGCCGGGAGGGCCGTTACGGATCGAGGCCTGCGCTCTGCCGCCGTGTAGCTCTCGGGAGAGGGGTGGAGCGTGCGCGGCGAGAGGGCAGCCCCGCGCCGGCAGGAAACACGCTACCTGCCCAATCTGATAGGCTCAGTCTTCGACGTGACAGCTATCGGTGCCACGCCAGGATTGGGTGGACTGTCTGTCAATCAAGCACTGTGCTGGCTGTGCGGTGAGCAGAAGCTGCGAGGAAGTAAGAGAAGAGAGAGGGTGAGGAACGCTGAACCTGGTGATAGTTAATTTGGCTCCCCAGCTGCCCTGGCTGGCTGGTCACTTTGAGCCCCCCTTCTCAGCGCCATTGGAGAAGCTCCACAACAACAACAACAAAAAGGATTACCGCGTCCCTAATTGTCCTGGTTTCCTTCTGGTTTCTGCACCGCAGCAAGGTCCTCCCAACTGAAGATACTTAGGGGCGGGGAGCGACAAAGAAAAACAAAAGGACCTGGAAAAAGAGAACTGGGAGAAAAATGTAAGATGTATCCTTAATTTGATACACAACCAAAAATGCTGAGTCTGAGACCCGACAAAGTGCTCTGGTGCGTGGGCAGCTTGAACTTGGCTTCCAGCCGCCGTGTTGGTAGTTCCCACCCGAGCGTTCTGGGATCCTAGCACTCTCCGCGGCCCAGCCACCTCCAGGGGCGTCAGTGAATCTGTTCTCCCCGCGCTGGTGTTGCCCCCTTAACCTTCCTCGCTCCTTCCTAATGGTCTTTGTGGCTTAATTTAGGTGTTGCTCCTCGAGGAAACCTGCTTGGTTAGGTTCCTTTCTTAGAAGACAGGTATTTTCCTATCCGAGCTGTATCCGTACCATTAAATCAGGAACTGTGTCAATGTTCACTTTTCCCCCTTGCCTAACACATGATATATGGTCAATAATCTTGTTTAAGGCATTATTATATCTTCTTTTCCCTTTAATCCTGGCCCTTGACTTCAAAATTCACTTAAGTGCTAGTGGGTATAGGATAAGGTAAAGCGAAAATTACCTATGGCCCCTTCCTAGCCTCAAGTTAGCTGAGACAAGTGGACCATGAAAATGAGCAAGAGTAACTCTATGTCTACCTTCCATTATTAGCATCCAAAATAAATAACGCAAGTGAATTATAAATGTATTCTTTTTTATTTTTGATTTGGTTTTTTGAGACAGGATCTCCCTATGTAGTTCGGGCTGGCCTTGAACTCACTGTGTAGCCCAGGCTGGCCTCAACCTCTGCAATCCTCTTGCCTCAGCCTTTCAAGTGCTGAGATTACAGGCATGAGCCACCATTGCCTGGCTTTGAATTTATTCTAAGGGGTGAAATAACGGAATATTTTATCATGTCTACTGTGGACTGAATTGTGTCCCTGCAATATTCATATGCTGTAGCCGTAACCCCAAATATGTAGAAATAGACTGCTAAGAAATAACTGAAGTTAAATGAGGTCCTAAGTGTTAGGAACTAATCCACTGTGATTAGTTTTTTTGGGGGGGTGTACCCAGGATCGAACTTGGGACCTTGCACTTCCAAGGCAGGCGGCAGAGCTAAACCCCTGACAGTTTTTATTTTATTTATTTATTTATTTATTTTGTACCAGGGATCTAACTCAGAACCTTGCACTTTCGAGGCAAGCGTGGTGCCACTGAGCTAAATCCCTGGCAGATATTTTTATTTTTTAAGACAACAGAAAATGGTCTCTCCACCAAGAAGAGTGCCTTATGCAAACAAGCCCTTACCCCAAATCAGCTGTACAGTCACCTTGATCTTAGACTTCCCAACTTCCATAACCGTGGGAAAATAAATTTTTGTTGTTTAAGCCACCTAGTCTGGTATTTTTTATGGCAGCCCAAATAAAAAGTGGTTTTCTTATTTGTTGGTACATTTTATAAAGTATGAGTTGAGATACTATTACATTCATTTTTGAAGAAACTATTATCCAGAAGATAAAAGTAGTTCTCCCAAATCTTTACATAGCAAATGTACAAGAACCTGACTCGATTTCAATTCTAGTTACATATTTAACATGTGATGGGACAAAGAATGTAAATGTAAAAGGAAGTAAAATACAGTCCTTCCCTTCACATAGCTTATACCACTAATTAACCTAGGAAAAAAAATGTGCTGAAGTCATAAGCTTTTATTCTGTAAGAGAATCTATTTTGAAGGAACCAATAATCTGAGCAGACCTTCCACAAGATTTTAGTCCGGGTCTGTTGATTACTATATTCTACCTATTTAGCAATAAAAGAAGCAGCTGGGGGTGAGAGGTATAGCTCAGTAGTACAGTCCATGGCCAGCACACACAAAGCCCTGGGTTTGAACCCCAGCACCAAAAAAATAAAACAGTTGTGAGTGAAGTGGTATATCGGTCAGTGCTTACTAAAGAAACATGTAACACAATATACAAATATATAAGAATTTCCAAGACTGGCTTACAATGGCCGCCCAGAGTCAGATGTGGAAGAAAGGACTGTGTGCATGCTGGAGAGTTGAAGGATCCAGTCAAAGGCCTAGGGTTCTCTGTAGTCTCCTGTGTAAATCCCTATCAAGAAGCTGAAGGCTGGGGATTTAGCTCAGTGGTTTTGCTGCCTGCTGCACAAGCACAAGGACCCAAGTTCAATCCCCAGCACCAAAAAATAAAAATAAAAAAAGAGGAAGCTGAAGAGCCTTTCCTGGAGGCTGAAGTTTATACTGGAAGCCAGGAGACAATGTCCAAAGTAAAGGCAAAAACTGAAGCTCCTCTGAACAGAAGCAATCCTTCATCGTTTCCCTTTTATACCATTCTGGCGACAATCCTCCTTTCCATGGGTCTACCACACCCAGAACTATGCTGAACCAAGTTGGGCATTTCTTACTCAATTTGACACAATCAACTAACTATCATGGGGAGAATTTAAATCTAATTTTTCTAAAGAGTTTTAATTCTCTGCAAACATGTTTTTTCCTGTGTCTTCCTTAAGGTTCCTCATCATTCTTACCAAGAAGTCTTCAAACAAAGACCTTGTACCAAAAATTTATGAAAAAGAGGAGTTAGCCACTTGTAGTAGTGCATACACACTCTGGGAGGCTGAGGCAGGAGGAGTGCAGGTTTGAGTCTCACCCAGACAACTTAGTGACTTAGCCAGACCATCTCAAAATAAAAAATTTTAAAGGTTGAAGATGTAGCACAGTGTGAAGGCCCTGCCTTTAATTCCTAGTACTGGGGTGGGAGAGTAGTTGAATAAAAAGAAGGAAACAACGACAAAAGAGTGGAAGGGTAGACAAGCATGTACGAAATTGCACTTAGAAGAAAAGTCCTTGTTTTTATTGGATAGCAGTTGTCTCTAGAGTTTCATTCATTCTATCATCCCAACTTCCAAACATAAACATGCTACTGTTTTTTTCTTCCCCTCTTTTAGGGAAACTCAAGTCAAAAATCATCCTTGCTAATTAGTGCTGATTAGACAGGAACCAAGTAGAATCAGGCATCAACAAAACTTGGGTCAGAACTTAATGCTATGGAAGATGTTGGCAACTAATATCTAGAATAAAACATGCAGCTGACTCCCTTAATCCCAAAGGAGGATTTGTGAAAAGAAAGTAAAATAAGCCTCCATGTGTGAAGACTTTTTCCAAGAAACAATTAACAGCTATGGTTAGAAATGGTTAGAATGATCTAGTTTAGCATCACCGTCAGACAGGAGTATTTAGAATAAAAAATGTCCTACCTACCAATTACCAAGAAGAAACCACAATTATGAAGTAGAGAAATTATTGACCCTGGTAATAAATAATATTGTTATGCATTTATAGGAATTAATTCAACAAAAAAATTGTCATGGGTCCACTCTGTCCAGTACAATAAGTACTGGATATCTAAAGAACAATCCCCCCCCCAAAAAAATAAAAAACAATCCCTACCTTAAAGGAGCTCAAGCCAGTGTCAGAGAATGAAATTTAAACAGGTACTTACTATTAACATAGTAGATATGACAATAAACGTGTACAATAACAAGGGGAAACATTAAACCACAAGAAAAGAGCAGATGTGTGGTCAGGCATTTAGGCAAAGAGAAGGGTTTTCTAGATAATAAAAAGGCACTAAATAATAGTATATTGCTGGAGTAGATGACTAGAAATGTTATGAAGTTAAGGACCTTAGAATTTATTGTATAGGCTATGAGGAGTCTTTAAAGGTTTTCTTTCTATCTTTAAAGATGTCATTCTGGCATAGGTATATAGATCAGTGTTGGAGCACTTCCCTAGCATATGAGAAGCCCTGGATTCATCCCCAGTACTTACTATAAAAATAATAAAGATATTCTATTTTCTGGCCTCCATTATTTCTGCTGAGAAGCTAGTTGCAATTCTTACATTACTTCTTTGTCTTTTTCTCTGGCTACTTTTACGATTTTATTATATTTATCAGCAGTTAAACTGATAACAATAGTTACATTTTATGTTAGTTAATCTTGATTGTCCTCTTGACTAGGTTAAATTCCTAGAGTTGAATGGATTGTGAGGGCACAAATTTCATTAATGGGCTCACTGATGAGTTCAAAACTGAATAGGCTATTAGGATGTGGGGCTTAGCTAGAAGTAGGTCTTTTGTACTTGAACTTTGGAACTATACAGGCCATGGCCTTTTCCTCTTGGACTCCTCCCCTGCACTCTGCTTCCAAGCTGCCACAAAATGAGCAGCTCTTTCTCCCTTCCACCATATATCCACCTTGTCACCAGCTGATCATAGACTGAAACCTCTCCTCAAGCTGTAGGTATCAGGAATTTTGTCCTAGCAAGGGAAAAGTTGGCCAATACAGAAAATTGGTAGCAGGAAAGTGGGGTAATTCTTGGGACTATATGTTTCAGTGTCTTTGGAACTGGTTTGTAGGAAGAAATTGGAGAAGTTCAGCGAAGTGAGCTATAAAGGCCTAAAATATTGTAAGCAGAGTCTGATGGGCAGTTCTAGTCACAGCTCAGAAGATCACAATGCTGATGGAAATGCAGACAGTAAAGACCAAACTCTTGAGGTTTCATATGGGAATGTTAGGAATTGGACTAGAAGCCATGTATGTTACACTCTGGCAAATAATTTGTCTTCATTTTGACCATGTCCTAAA